ACCTCCTAAAATACCAGGCTGCAATGAGGAGGAGCACCCTGATGGAAGATAGGCTGAGGCGAGATGTCAGGACAAGCATGGAGGCTCCTGCACTGAACTGCAGGCAGGAAGAGCTGAGCCAGGCAAGGAGCTGGGCCAGATGAGGAGTGGAGTGGGCAGAAGCAACCAGGAGCTTGGTGCAAGCTGCACATGCCCACAGCATGACACAGCAGGGCTCAAACAACAGTCTCCTGCAGGCAGCTTCAGTTTAAATGCTTCCAGTCTTTGGGAACCAGGCAGAGATCTCCAGGTGGATGGAGCTTTGATTTTCATGGACCTCAATTGGGCTAAAATTACTCATGCAGGCAACACACATCCTGCTGGGATGAGGGATCAGAAGGCAGCAGTCACCAATCCTTATTCCCCTTTGGCCATTGTGCAGTTTTGGCTGTCTCTGCTTCTTGCAAAAATTTTTGGCTGAGCTGGGCAGCCTGAGCACCTGGGCTCAGCATCACCCGCAGTACAGGCACCACTTTGGCAACAACACAGGCACCAGGCCTGAGGGAGGTGGCTACAGCCACCAACATCTAGTAGCCAGCCAGCTCCCACTCCCTGTCTGCACCCAATGCAAGGGAAAGGGCACTCAGCTGCTGTCAGGTACCACACTGCATTTGAAGAACCCTTGTTTTAGGGTATTTCAATACGAGTGGTGGTTTAAAAAAATAAAAGTGCAAAAATATCTGAGTTTCTAAGAATGTCAGCTTCCTTTTTTCCTAGCAGGTGTAGAAATGGAGAACTACTCAGCACATGGTCAAACATCTTGCGAGAGCAAACAGAAAACACCTGCAGTGAGTATCTGCCAGGGCAGGTCAGGGCTGGCACAGCAGGGCACACAGCACCTCCTCTGCTAGCAGAAAGGCAGACACAGCAGACTGAGGCCACAGAGAGAAATCAGACTGCCCCTTTCCTGGCTTGCAGTTTAACGTGGTTCACAGGAACCTCCCAAGCCTAAGCTCTGCTGCAGGTGTCCCTGCTCTGGCGGCACCTGGGTGCAGAAACACTGCTCTGCTGGGTGGAGCTGGCCAGTGGGGACCACAGCCCTGTGCCTGGCACGGTGCACCCAGCCTGCACACACCGAGGCTTGGAGGGGAATCCAGGAGGAACACAATAAACAGGACAGGGCTGGGGCTGTTCCCCCCAGGTGATACTTTCCTGAGCAGCAGGCTGCATCCAGACTGTTGCACTGACAAACGAGCGGAGGATCCAGCCTGCAGGACTGATCTAATAGGGATCTGAACCTTTCCCACCTTTGGCTCCCATCGAGGCACCCACAGGGCAACCACACACCAAGTGACAGCTGTGTCCCTCCCACAACTGGCACCACTACAGCCATGATGGACGGAGCTGGAGCACCTCAGTGCTGGAGCCTGGCTCAAACCTCCAGCAGACAGAGATGGTTGGTCCACCAGCACGTCTTGCCTGGAAGCAGCTTTACAGGAGGCTTGTCTCCAGAGAGTCACATCGAGTTTCAGATCTAGTTAATCCCCTCCTTTATTAGCGCAGGAATGTATTGCTTTTCACAAACCATAATCCTCTTTGCAATCATGTGTTCTGCCAAACTACAAACTTTCTGCTCCCATCCTTCTTTCCCGAGAGAGGATTTGAGGCAATAATCCAGGCCTACCAATTTATTTATTTAATGAGCAAGGGGCAAACGTGTGCAGCATTGCAGAACATGCACACACCCAAACCTTGAAGTGTTCCCTGATTCTGGCACACCTTTGAGGGATGCCCTGAGCTGAAGTACTGAGGCTGGAAACAGCGACCTCCACTTTTGCTGTAGCCCAGACAGACAGGGCAGAGGAGGCTGAGGCCACAGCCAAGGCCCACTCATGATTGTGGGCAATTCTGAAGAGAGCAAACATCGGTGGGTGCTCAAGGAGGGAAAAATGTTCTGCAGGGTCCATGTAGCTGGGTCTTTATGAGTTTAGCTGAAAGAGCAGAGCAAGTATCACAGCCCTAGTAGAGTTCAAGAAGCTGTGGCAGGGAGAGCCCCTGGTAAAAGGAGCTCCCTTCACAGCCCCAGCAGGTGCCTGGCAGAGCTGCAAGCCTCAATGTGGCATCACACTGGCAACTAGAGATAGACTTGCCAAGAGCATGGGTGGTTTACAGGTTCCCTAAATACTCCCCGGTATATTGTTTACCACTTTCACTCTAAACCCACTGAGCTGCCTCCTTACCCCATTGCTTTCCCTGTCAAAGCATATTGAAAGAAGATGGGTGCTAAAACTTTGTTTAGTCAAAAGACCAATACACTCTACTTCTCCTTCAAGTTCTTTAGAAACAGAACCAGGGAACCTCACTGCTCCACGCCTGCTGGCTTTTAGAGACTGAGCTCTGCATGCCGGGGAGCCCCCGTCATGGCATGGGGTCACTCTCCCTGCTCCAGGGAGAGGGTCGGGCTGAGGACCAGTTAATGCAGATCCAGCGGTGACACCAAATGGGCACTTGCACGGCCAGGGAGGCCACTGAAACCGCTGTGCAGGTCACAGGCTGCCTGTGGGCTGACACGGGCTGTCTGTGCTTCTTGTGTTCACACGCTACTGGCTTTCATGCTTACAAAGGCCTGCTGTGCTGCTCCTCGTGCAAACGAGATAGCGATCTCAGACAGCAGGAGGTGAGGAAGGGCCCCAGCTCCGCGGGGGCAGCCCTGGGCACGCGTGACACCCGTGACACCCGTGACACCCGTGACACCCGCGACCCGCGGGAACCGACCGGTTCCCAAGCCCCACGAAGCCCCC